TATTTTGTTTTTATATACAAGTTGTTCAGGTTTTTTCATCTAAAAAACAACAACATTAATTTCTTTAACGGCCTAATAGTTAAGATATGTAACAAACACACAAACATGCCTAAGGAAAGTACTTTTACTAACAAAGTAACAAAATATGTAATATTAACGAACATGCATAATGATTAAATTTACTGAAATTACAGAGTAATAATCAATATCTAACATACAATTAAACTAAAGCAATGTAGATAACAAAGTACATCTAAATATCTAACTTACCAAAGTCCGAGCACTGACAACGTGAAATATGCAAGTCTCCTGTGTTTAAAGAAGGGCAAAGTCATGCAAAGGGCATTCGAACTGGGCCTACCATGGGTATATCAACTTGGTTAGAAGTGTATCTGTTGAAACACTTACCATAAATCTCCTGGAAGAACTTGAAGCTAGAGGAAGAAAAGAGGATGAGAACAAGACGTAGCAGCCAGCAATTGGGGAAGGTGCCTGAAAAAGGAGAGACTAAAGTAGCAACTCAATGAGTGTTCTCTTCCTCAGAAACAGTGTCACGTTGTAAAGAAGAAGAAAACGATGGTCGAACATAAAACTAACTCCCCACGAATCAAGACATGTACTTCCTCAGCAGATAAAATCAACCATGTGTCCTGGGAAGTCGTGTCATGTGCATTATTGCCCATCGTCGCTGTAATATCACTGTCCTCCACAGGAAACTTTGAATTCATACTAAAACCCGTAGAATTCGGGAACAAGAAAATTTCGAATGCAAATTCGTGGAAACAAATGCAATCAAACAAGTAAAATAGAAATTTTTGAATAAACTTTATTGGAAATGGCAACAAAGCACAGTCACACTTGGAAAACTAAACACACATCTAAGCTGTGTCATGCCAATAGAGAAAGTGAGGATTGAGTGAGAATAACAGAATAGCTGCATGATTGTAGGTGGCACAATGTTATTGGTGGAGAGTAGTTACATGACAGGTACATGTTCAGAAATGGTGCAAAACTGGTGGGGTATAAAGACTGGTGCACTGATCACTTAAAATTCTTTTAGCTTTTGTGTGAGAGGAGGTAAGTCCATTTTGGAACCTATTACCTCTCAGCATTAGTTTGCTAATCTAAATCAGCATCTTTAATGTAAACTTTCGCCTCTCGGCATTAGTTTGCGAATTTAAATCAGCATCTTTAATGTAAACTTTCACCTCTCAGCATCAGTTTGCTAATCTAAATCAGCATCTTCAATGTAAAATCTCACCACTCAGCATTAGTTAGCTATTCTAAATCAGCATCTTTAATGTAAAATCTCACCTCTCAGTATTAGTTAGCTATTCTAAGTTAGCACCTTTAGTGTAAATTGTTACCTCTCAACATTTGTAAGTTATTCTACATCAGCATCTTTAATGTAAATTGTTATCCTCCCAGTGTTTGTTACTTTATCTAAACTTGTACAGTCAATGAAACACTTACCCCTTCAACATTTGTTAGTTCATCTAGGTCCAAAATCATCTCTTCTACAAATTCTTCATCTAGTAAAACCTACAAAATTTTTTGAAAAACTTAACTTGTACACCATATAACAATTGTAGCATATATAATAAAAGCCACTCTCTGTTCATAACACTGCCTTTGTTGATAATGATTGACTCTGTTGGTAACATTCAAATTGGCTCAGTGATTTGTCTCAAAATATTACAATACTAGGAAAAACCACAACAACATGATAGTCTAGGACCACTTACAGGAGTTGACTAAACACAAACAAAAAATGGGAGTGGCTGATTAGAGAGGAAGACCAATTAATATGATACTAAACTGAGATGAAAAAGAGATTGATAGGTGGAGAAAACAATATAACACCATACAAAATTCAAAGAGAGACTAACCAGTATATAATCAAGTCAAAATGAGGGGCTGCTAAGCAATATACATCCTATTACAATTTGAAATAAGTTCGTTTGTCCTCTTATTCCTTCTAAGCTTTTTGCATTTGGATCTGTCAGATATGGTTTAACTATTAAAATCTGAATTATTAGCTATATCTGTATGCCAAATTTATTTATATACCATGAAAAGAAAGTAATTTAATTAAATTTTGAATGTAACCCACTAAAACATCGTGAAATGCACAGAAAAGGTGTCTGTAGAGAAAGGAATGATTTAGGATGTGTCAAGGAGGGGTTATTTTTCCTTTAAAAAATAAATTTCATAGCTCTGTAACTAAATAAGATTGAAGGCTATAAAAGTATGCTTTGCCTGAGCAATGATGACATTATAGTAGGTAAATTACATTAAATTTCATACTTCTTGGAGGGGTGGTAAATAAATTAGAGAAGAGGGGATGCCTGAAAAGAAAATCTCACAATTCTCATACTAGGGGATATTGAGAATTTATTTTTTTAATATTGCTTTATAAAAGTAAGAACCTAAAACTTATATAATATTGAAAATTAGTTTATTAGCTACATTTTTATGCCGGACTTATTTATATACCATGAAAACAAAGTAGCTTAATTAAGTTCTGATAGTAATTCACTAAATCTTCGTGACATTTGCAGAAGAAGAACATGCCCATGGCAAGAGGGTTTATCAGCAAATTCCAAAATAAACAGAGACTAAGGGTGACAACTATAATAACTAGCTTTATACAACAGTTGCTACTCATTACTAGTTTAATATGGTTGTAATACCATTCATCAATCTCACTTCTAGTTTAATTTTGTTATTGTTAAAAGCATGTCATTTAGTTGCATGCATCATGTTTCAATTACTGGAACTTCTCTGCTCCATAATGTCAGTTTCTCTTGAGTTTATGCAATCAATTATACATCCTGATGTAATGAATTAGTTATAAATTTGGAATGTTGCTTTTATATCCCAACTAAAACAAACAACCAGAATATTTCAATTACCATTACAAGAGTAAAAAATCCAAAATGAGTTTGGCTGCATTGTACTTTATAAAGTG